TGGTGACATATGTAGAACACCAGAAGGCCTGCAAGCGGTTATCTGCTGCTCTATTTCTTGACGTTAAAGGGGCCTACGACAATGTCACCCACGAAGCCATTCTCAGCGCACTAGAAGGAGTGGGACTCGGTGGCAGGATATATACGTGGGTTCAGAGCTACCTAGAGAATAGATCATTTCACGTGCAGACAGAGAATGGCCCGACACCCGAGTATTACTGCAGCCGAGGAATCCCGCAAGGCGGAGTGCTAAGCCCGACGCTGTTCAACCTAACACTCATTGAACTAGTTGGCAAGCAACCAAGCAGTGTACGACTTTCCATTTATGCTGATGACATCTGTGTGTGGACATCAGGTGTGACTCGACTTCAACTTCGCGCTCGACTTCAGAAGGCAGCATCAGTGACATCGTACCACTTACGCAAACAAGGGCTTGAAATCGCAAGTGAGAAGTGTGCAGTCGTGGCCTTCACCAGAAAACCAATGTCCGCTTACGGCATATCAATTAACGGGCAGTTGGTGTCATGCAGCCGGAGTCACAGGTTCTTGGGAGTCGTAATAGACCGAAACCTGTCTTGGACACCCCACGTAAACTACGTTAAAAAGCGGCTGACTGCCATTTGTCACTTATTCAGGTTTCTTGCTGGAAAAAGTTGGGGAATGTTTGTCGAGTCTATGTTACAGCTGTACAAGGTATTATTTACTGGATTCCTGCGGTATAGCCTACCTGTTATATCTAACACATGCAAAACGAACCTGCGCACAATCCAAAATATTCAAGCCCAAGCGCTTAGGATATGCCTTGGTTTACCCCGCTGCGCATCGACAGCTGAAACAATTGCCATTGCACAGGACTACTCTATCATGACGCACATCACCATTGAAACGATGCGTACGTACCTCAGGCAACATGCTAGGAATCCTTCCCACCACTTGGCAACCCTCGCTTCTAAGAGGCCCCGCACGAAATTTAGTACAATTGTCTGCGCTCATCGTGCGTCGTTTACATCAGGTTTTACGCCTGCTGAAAAACTGGTGTATCCTCCGTGGTGCCTGACACTTCCAGAAGTACGTGTTTCAATTCCAGGAATACGGAAAAAATCAAATTTGCCTTCGTCAGCCCTAAAACAATTGAGCTTGAGCCATCTGCACGAAATGTACAACAACCACGTGCACATATACACCGATGGTTCAACCACAGCGTCTGGTTCTGGTGGTGCGGTGGTGATTCCAGCTAGAGGAATCACTCTGCGAATCAAACTGTCACATGCCACTACATCCACAGCGGCAGAACTTGCGGCTTTGCGTGGCGCCATAGAGTACATCAAATCCCAAAGACCTAGTAAATGGGCTGTGTTTTCCGACTCAAAACCAGCCCTACAGAGCATGCAGTCAGTCCTTCGACGAGGTTGCCATGAACAATTAACTTACGAAGTTGTCAAGCTCGTTCACCACGTCACAGAAACAGGCCACGAGGTCAAGTTTCAGTGGCTCCCTGGCCATTGTGGGATCAGTGGCAATGTTTCCGCAGACAGCGCGGCTCGTACATCGCACCAAGAAGAACACACCCTTCCGATTCCTTTGTCAAGGACTGACGCTGCAAATCAACTTCGTCACCTGGCACGTAGTCTGAGTCTGCAGGAGTGGAACACCCCAAGCATAAGGCATACGAGACTATACCAAATAAACCCTCGACTCGAACTTCGACCTCCATCCGGACTTCGTCGACGTGAAGCTTCACTTTTTTGTCGCCTATGTTTGGGGGTTGCCTTCACAAAAGCATACAGAACCCTCATCGGATTGACCGACAATGCGGAATGCGACGTCTGCTGCACCAAACAAGACATCGACCATCTGATATGCCATTGCCCTCGATTTGCTTCTGAAAGACAGAAGCTTTCGGATGCAATGCGACAATTGGACGATCGGCCACTCTCTGTTCAGATGCTACTGGAACACCGTCATCGCCTTTCGTCGGCTCAAAAAGCAGTCAAAGCTGTCTTGTGCTTTTTGAGGACTACAGGCCTCTGTGACCACCTTTAACTTTTGTGTAGTGCCACCGCTGCATACGCGCCAGCCGATTGACTGACAATCATCCTTTTCTCTCTCTCTCTCTTTCTCTTCTCTTTCCTCTCTCTCTCATCTTTATGTCCCTTTCCTATTCCCCCAGCGTAGGGTAGCAAACCGGGCATGTGCCTGGTTAACCTCCCTGCCTTTCCCTCTTGTTGTTTACCCCCCCCCCCCACTTATGCTCTTAAGAGGACTCTCTTTGGTCTGGGGCTATAGAACTTATACTTATTCTCTAAAGTGTTGCTAAATACTGGCGATCGTGCGATGCAATCACCTTAGTTCATCTATTGAATATTGCTTTTCTATATTAGCTAAAAATTATCTATTTATTCTTGCAAAGCGTAGCTCGTGTTTATATACTCGGAACTCGAAGAATGAGTGAACAGTGAAATGAGTGAGTGCTCCAAGAATGAGTGAAAGAAATCACAAAATACCTAACGCGCTTGTGCGAACACCAGCTTAGGTGCTCCTCTGACATATGCCGCGTTGATAACATCGACCTCTTTCAGAACTATAAATGCATCCTCTAATATGTAATGGCTGTGCTGCAAACTAATGGAGGCTGCATACCTTCACTTCTTGACCTCGCTACGCAAAAAAAAAAAACAGCGTACCTAAATGTTACAATACTACATATAATATCCGGGGTGTAATGTCCCAAAAATGCGGTGCGATTTATACGGGAGGGCTCCGGTAATTTCAGCCGCATCAAAAATTTAGCCGCTGCAGCTGGGATTCGATCCCGCGACTTTGGGGTTATCAGTCCAGTGCCATAAGAGCTAGAGCACCGCGGTGGGGCTCGCGTGTCTAAGTACTGTCATGAAGCATGCTTGAATGCTAGCCTGTCTTGCGGCGTTCTTAAGCCAGTTCATCAATTTATTCCTTTTTTAATATAACACAATGCACATCATTTTATCACCGCAGACGAGCCAACGAAACTCTACAGGCACTTAATCAATTATTTCCGGATTCATTTCAGCTGGCAGGTGCTCAACGACAAAGCTTCGCTCCCCACAAAATAACAGCGAACTACGAGTCTAGCACGGATTAAGGTAAGGACTGTCCAAAGCCTGACCACGCGCAGTGTTTGAAGATCCCAGCGATACTGCTACCCCACCGTGAAGCGATGCAGGAAATCTGTGGCTTACTCGAACTACGAGTGTCTTCTAGCGCTTAGCGGAAAGGGTTCGATGGGGGAGGCTTGAGGAAGAGGAACGTTTAGCTTCAGCGCCACAGAGTACGCGGTGCCAAAGATGCCCTCTTTCTTTGTCGTCCCTTTTCAGGCGACCGTATCGGAGGGGTTTCGATAAGTTACTGCCGTGGCGGTCAGTCGACTTTCACTTATTGCCTTGCACCGGTGCGTTTGTGGAGGAAGGTAAAGAAGCTACAAAAAACTTAAACTGTCTTGTGTCCTCCCGCGACATATTTAGAGCAGGGGGAAGAAACAGCAGAGATAACGTAAAGACGCACAAAAGTAACAATCAAAGCCACCGAGAAAACAGCACCAGTATACAGTGCGTGCTAAACACCCATCCTCGCACTGTATCTTCACGAGCGGTTTCGACTATCTTACACCGTGCTTTCGAGTGTCCTTGTGCCGTTTCGATGTCTCACAATCCTGGAGGAGTGCGATGGGCGTGCGAGTGTTTTCACTGTAAGGCTTAGTGCGAGTGCATACTTCCACGCTTGAACCGAAGTTCACGAGGAAAAGAAAAAACTGCAGTGCCAGTCCTCCAGGGCAGTACGAAAGGGAAGTCCGCGTCTGAATTGTTTTTGGACACCTGTCTGAATTACCAATTTCTAACTGCGCTAAATCACAAGATAAAGCAAAAATGCGAAAAAGAACACCACTGAAAGTAGACGTCACGAGCTGTTGGATTATATGTATTGATGCCGCAGGGCAAACGGACGCAAAAATAAATGTAGTGGATTATGGAGTAATTCTACAACAAGAACTCGCAAAACGCAATTTCCCTTGTTATCCTTGTCTTATGTATGCATACTTTATTCGAGATTTGGCAATCCAAGAATTGTGAAAAGCTGAATGGTGGCGAAGGTTAGCGAAATATTAATGACTAAAATTCACAATCACTAAACTGTCGAAACTAGGACGCATAAAGCAACTTCTGTTACCAGACATAAGTAAATTAAATATCCAGGATGCATCCATCAAATCAGACCTAATGTAACGTAACTATCAATTTGAATGGAAAAGTAAATGCACCGACCAGACCATGTGATTTTTACGGAGACCTTCCGACAACTTGCCGAATATGCTGTGCGAATAGCAGCGCTGCTTCTCAGGTGGCCTTTCATGTTATTGCTGTATGGAAGGCCATTCAAAAGTTGCAACATGTATAATTACTCGCCTCATTGGCAATGTAATTTTGAAAAATACTGTAGAGTTACCAGGAGGATATCTTCCACTACAGCTGCCTTCCGACTAACTATTAGTGGATTTCTCGCGTTGGGAATCCTTACGCACACCATACTCATTATTCTACCGGCCATCCTGACTGCATTAGACTAGTCTGCTGCCGCCCAAGGCACATTCTCAGAAAATCGGCAAAGGTATTATACGGAAAATGTGATGCAATTCACAGCGCATACGGCACCCATCAAGCGAAATTTGGAATCAGCAAGCTGCAACCGGTGATTTTATAAAAGTGTTGAACTTAGCACAGCTCTTCGGCACATTAGGACTACTATTTCACACCAATGACAAAACATTCGCTGAGGACGAACTGGCTGTTCCCGTTGTATCCCTCTGACGACGCACGTGCGGAGGCTAAGACGTGGGACCATGGCAGATATTCCGCCGTTGACCACTCCAACCGACAGGGCGATCCGCCTGGAACCATCTATCGGTCCCCGTCAAGACGTGCGTTCGCCCACGCGCGCGATGCCGCGGTGAGGGTACACGGTACTCACCGGCGAGGCTGGCGCCGAGGAGATTCACCATGTCGTCCTCTCGCTTGCGGTGGCGGCGCGATGCTGCCGCAGCGGCGTCGTCGGAAAGCGCTCGTCTGCCGGCGACCGGTTCCGATTGGGATCGGAGGGAATGCCAAGTATCGCACCCGCGAGGAGCAGGAGAGGCTTTGCAGTCATTTCCCGTCCGCGGAGAAAGCGGATCCCAAGGATCGTCCGTCGCGTGCTGGGGCGAAAGCGCGAACCTACAACGTCGTCTGTACGACGTCGAAGACGACGCTACGCCACGCCGGTGCGCGCCCTCGCCCACGTGGTGAAACCAGTGCGCGCGCGCCCGGCCCGACCTGAGAGGTCATCGCGCGGCGAAGAAAAAAAATTTTAAATGTGCCGCCACACTGTCCCACCGACCGCCGGCGTGTCGGCTCGCGTGTTCGCGCCGGGTTTTCCTATCTCGATCTTCTTTTTCTCTTCCCATTTATCTCGTCTTTTCTTTGTTCTCGAGAGCGAACGCGAAACACTTAACCGGAGAGAGCGGCGACGGAATGTGGCACAGTCGGTGATGTAGTCTCAAAGATAGCCTTTCCTGGTGTTATGCAGGGAATGAAGAAAGGCATCCAGCGATTCGAGATGGACAAATTAGGAGGCTTGTGTAAAGTGTCGTATGCGAAAGTAGGCTCTCGGTGCGCCGCGACATACCCGCGACAAAGTTAATCTTTCCCGCTTTTTCTGACCACGGCTTCTAAATAAAAAGAGTCGCAGAACGTGCCTTATGCGGAAGTCCAGTACCTACAGCAGCAAAATATGCAAAAAAATGAAAGAACATAGCGGTACAACTTTCCTCTTTCAGCGTTTCTCGACTGACTCGACACGCATGTGTAACAGCCCTGATTGCGGCATTTTTCTTTTCCGCTGTAGGAAAGCCGACACTGTAGACAATTATAAAGGTATTCTACGTCAGCCCATACACTCCAAACTGACTTCTCTTGTAATTACGGCTTCGTTATCACCCGTTTTTCTGGACAGGTTGTACACTCCACGTAAGTAAGCGTACATTGAGTCGTATAAGCTGTATCCGAACTCGAATTTGAGCTTCTGGAACTTCAGCTATCAAATTATCACCCGCAGCACTTGCCTATACTGAGCTACGTGACTTCGGAAGTACCCATTTCCCCCGTTTCGTAGGCATCTTAGAAAGTACTCATATTCCTCGTTGCTTTCACGAGGTTAAAATCATGATGCGAACGTTCCGTTTTGAAGATACAGATCTTTCGCTGCCACGCGGATTTCCCCGTTTCTCTCGCACTGTCCCGATAGATTATCTGCTCTTCCTAAGTCCATGGCTTCTTTGCTGACCCCCTGACCCTTTTACCGAATGTTACCCAACCCTTGACCTTCTCTCATACTGATCAAAGGAGTATTCAGTCCAGGAAGGCTGTCGAGGCGCACAACGTTTTGCTACAACCACTGTGACATTCTGAATTTCGAAGGCAGTGTCGTCTCCCACCTTTTCTACCCTCAATCTGATGATGATGTGTGGTTTTTATGGCGCAAGGGCCAATTGATGGCCAAAGAGCGCCATTTCAATGAGTATAGAGATGCGGACAATGATATGTTGCGTGGCTATATAGGGGCCTTAAAATTCCTCGCGATAATGCGGGTAAAAACATAAGTATTAAACACATGACAGTGGCGTGATATGCATATTAAAAAGGGTGACAAAGGTTTTGATAATAAAAACATGTAAAAACATTTGGCACTAGCACACTTGTCTCATCAGTGCCCTTGTGTCCAAGTGCTGCGAGGCAAGTGCTTTTATATGTAATCACAGCAGCAGCGACCTCTCTTGAGAGGTCACGCTACGCAATGCCTGGGTATAATACATGGTAAAAATTAACATCTCTTAAAAAAGCTAACAATGATTTATGGGTGAAAAGTGGTTCCCTACCGACAAACATTGCAGGGTGTAAAGGTATATGTTGTCGGTAGGGTAATGGGAAGTGTTGTCTTCTTAGAGTGTCTAACTGTTTACATTGGATTAAAACGTGAAGAACTGTTAAAGCCTCACCACATTTATCACAGAATGGTGGATCACCACCGGATAAAAGATGTGTGTGTGTCGTGTATGTGTGCCCTATCCTGAGTCTTGTTAGTGTTACCTCTGTTAGACGTGATTTTGATACTGGTGGCCAATGGCCAAGGTGTGGCTTGATAACGTGTAGTTTGTTTTGTGTGTGTGTATCCCACTTGCTCTGCCAGTAGTCCCTGAGGTTTAGTTTGAGAGACGGCTTAAGATCAAGGGCCGGGATTGATATGGATGTAACGGCGGTGCTCTCATGGACGGATGCAGCGAGTTATCCGCCCTCACGTTGCCTTGGATCTCACGGTGCCCTGGCACCCAGCACACTACAACATGTTGTTTGTGCGTGTAGAGTGTGCACAAAATGGAGTAAAGTGAGACAAGGACTGGGTTTTTTTGTTTTTTAAGACTGTGCAGAGCCGTTACCACACCGAGGGAGTCTGTATAAATTACTGCTTTTTGTATTTGTAGTTGTTTGATGTGTTTAGCTGCCACCAGTATCGCGTAAGCTTCCGCTGTGAAGATACTTGTGCGTGGATGTAGAGGGCCAGCATCCGAAAAGGATGGGCCGACAGCAGCGTAGGACACAGAGGAGTTAGTCCTGGAGGCATCTGTGAAGAACTCAGGACATGTGTATTTGTGTTGAAGTTCAAGGAAGTATGTTCAGATATGGGCAATAGGCGCATGTTTTGTAACTTCAAGAAAGGACACATCACAGTCTATAGTCTGCCATTGCCACGGTGGCAGATATGCTACAGGAGCCATTAAACTATGTTCAAGTGAGACTCCAGTTTCCTCAGCTAGACTTTTCAGGCGAACTGAGAAGGGCTGCCTCATCGAAGGCCTGTTTTGAAACAGAGTTGAGCTCGACAAATCATTAATTGTAGAGTATGAGGGGTGCTTCTTGTCTGCTTTCACCTTAAGGAAATAAACAAAGGACATGTAAGTTCTCTGCAGATGAAGCGACCACTCATTTGACTCAACATAAAGGCTTTCTACGGGGCTGGTGCGAAAAGCACCCGCAGAAAGGCGGATGCCCAAATGGTGCACGGGGTCAAGCATCTTCAAGGCACTTTGAGTGGCAGACTGATAGACAACGGCCCCATAATCTAAGCGGGTACGAATAAGGCTTCTATAGAGGTTCATGAGGCATTGCCTATCACTACCCCACGTAGTACGTGACAACACTTTTATAACATTCATGGCTTTTAAACATTTTGTTTTTAAATACTTGATGTGCGGTACGAAGGTCAACTTGTTGTCCAAGATTAAGCCTAAGAATTTATGCTCGGCTTTGACGGACAGACGTTGCCCGTTCAGCCGAATGTCAGGTTCCGAGTGCATGCCTCTCTTTCGAGAGAACAAGACACACGTGCTTTTTTGTGGGTTAAGTCGAAATCCGTTTTCGTCTGCCCATTTGGAGACCTTATTTAAACCCATCTGAACCTGCCGCTCACACATTGCTAAGTTGCATGACTTGAAGCCAAGCTGAACGTCGTCGACATATGTACAGTAGAACATCATGCGGGGAATGGACAAGTGCAAAGAATTCATTTTGATGATAAAAAAGTGTGCAACTAAGCACACCACCTTGTGGCACGCCTGTTTCCTGGACAAATGTTTGGGAGAGCACACTGCCAAGACGGACACGGAATGTCCGGTTTGACAGGTAACTTTCGATTATATGAAACATTCTTCCGCGCACACCAAGGTGGGACAGGTCTCTTATAATTCCGAAACGCCATGTTGTATCATACGCCTTTTCGATATCGAGGAACACAGAGAGAAAATATTGTCTATGGACGAAGGCGTCTCTTATCTGTGCCTCGATACGAACGAGGTGGTCTGTGGTGGATCTACTTTCTCGAAACCCGCACCGAAATGGGTCGAGCAAATTGTTTGTTTTAAGAATATGTAGAAGTGGGCAGTTTATCATTTACCCTCAATCTGCAGCGGGCTGTTTTGTTGTACACAATGTTGACAGTTAGTTGAGACAAATTTGGCCTTCTTTCCTATTGAAATATATTTGGGTCTGTACCATGTCTCCTCGTATACTTAGTTCAATGGTACTATTCACTATCGCTCCATAATAATTGCTGTCGACTAGCATATATGACCAGAGCTGCATGGCTTGTGTTAGTGATAGCTATCGTCGGCAATTGGCGACAATAAAACAGCGTTACCTTCCTTCAATAAAAAACAATTCATTGTGTAACCACATTATGACTTCAACGTGTATCCCTTCAAGCACCTCTGTTTTCTTTTTATTCTGCTGCTGAATCAAACTAGGGAAACCTTCCTGACTTCTGAAGTGATGGAGCACCTGCCGATAGTTGTCCATATTTTATTTGACCGCCATGCAAATTTGCAAGGTCGTAATTTCTATAGGCCGTCTTTTGACCTTTCTGCGGTGTTCATTCGCCCAATCATTATTCACTGTGGTATCCATACGAAAGTTAACCATTTACTGTTTCAATGTGCGCTGAACATAGATGAAAAAGTTCATCCATGCAGCCCAACCGAAACGAAAACGTTACACCTGGGGTGACAGCATAGTATGCAGCCATGACGACCGAACATAATGTCTTAGAAACAGGTAGAACAAATACACAGCATTCACTCAAACTGGTGCACTTTAGTTAAAAGTGTCGCAATAATAGTTATTATATTATCCCATTCCGTCTGGCCTTAAGTTCACGACTCTAGATACGGTCATGAACTATTTAATTATTTCCCACCAAGGTATTGAACGAGCTATTGAAAGGCTCCCAAACAATTCGGCACCCGGCCCGTACGGCATCTGCACCAAAATGCTAAAAATAACAAAGCCCGTTGTTTCTCGCATTCTAGCTTCTTTTTTTCAGCAATCTATCGATAGTGGTAGCGTACCAGACGCCTGGAAAATTGCCCACATCACTCATATCTTTAAATCAGGTGACCCCTCTATTCTCAGTAACTATAGACCGATTTCACTAACGAGCATACCATGTAAACTTTTATAGCACATTATATCATCTGCAGTTATGACATATCTAACCACGAGCAAGTTATTCTTACCAAGTCAGCATGGTTTCCAGCGTGGCCTTTCATGCGAAGCTCAACTATTCGAACTAATAACCGATATTCACGAAGCGATACATATTAAAACAGACGTAGATGCTCTC